TTGAGAAAAAATATTATTAATTTACCCCTTTTAGAAGGAGAGATATAGTCGTTTGTTCTGGGAATGTAATTTTCGAGACCTGAAAAACAGGCTCAGGGCTTAACAGGTTAAAGTCACTTATAGTTTTTTCAGTGCCCACACAAATAGTAGTTTGTAAAAATTTTCCAAGTGAAAATGAAACACTGTGTTGCAGCCCTGAAATTGCCAAAAAGTAAGTAATTCAACTTCAATGAAGCAACAGTTTGTCATGTAATTGGTTTGAGCCTGCAAGTTTGCAGTCAAATTGGTGCTTTCAAAAAGGCCAGACTACATCTGTATTTGCAGACGGGCTCCTGGTTATAAGATTCAGCTGCTCCTCTATGATTCCATCTGAGGGCCTTTATTTTGCAGACAGTCACAGCGCCTCCAGTAATTGTGCAATAGATCTCTGCCAGATGGTGACCCTCTGCCAGGGATGCAATAATGGGGACTGGACTCTTACAGGTTAATTTTCTCTGGCTCTGCAAGAGATTTTCCATGAGCCCCCCGCTCTTTGATACAGTTTAAGATTAACATCCTCAGCCCGCGGCTCTGTGCGAACACTTCCCCCGCCATTCAGCCACAACAATCTCCAGACTCAAAGCAGGATTTGTCATTTGAGCTGCGTGTGGTTCCTACTGCAGCTTTTGAAAATATGTCATTACAGCAGGACCAACAACTATTTACCACCTCATCTATATTCTGCAGCCTCATGTCTTTCCTATATTTACAGCTCTACTTCCCCTCCTATCTCTCCCATGTTGTTATCACCATCATCATCATCACCACCTTAGCAAAAACACTCCCATGTGGCAAACATCCTATATTGTCAGTATGGCAATTTTGCTGAGAAAATATTTCACCTGTGACGATCCCTGAGCCACAACACAACCTCAGAGGACCATCCTTCTTCCTCAAGGAGTTAATAACATCAATTATGCAGTTCTGGTCAAGGCGAAGGTCAGCACCGACATGATTACAGTGCTGCTCTATTTCAAGTTATCACTAATAAAGGGCAGCGGTGGCGGCCCCTTATACTGGGCTGTCAGAGAGACACAGCTGATCAGCCTGCGGCTCCTCGGAGGGACGAGCTGCTCTGGCTGCAAGGTTACGTCTTACAAACCTACACAGGCCCACTGGAAAGGAACGTCGGTCATATTAAGAAAGATGATACTGCTAAACTTTACAGCATAGTGCGATTATATTAAGTGTGGTTAATATGGAATCATGTCAAATAACATCGCTAATGCTGCACAAAACGCTGTGCAAAAATGTCTTAAAGCTATCATAGGGCCATATTTATGTAAAACAAGTCTCTGAAGTGTTTTGCTCAAAATACCAAACAGATCACCCTTTGTAGCATGCCTCGTCTATTTCAGTCCTGTTACTTAAAGAGCCTGTGACACGATTTTCCCCCATCATCCAAACCCATCAATTTGAGTAAATATTGTCCCCTTGAAAACCGTTACTGAACTGATTTTGGATATTTGTACTTTGATAACCATTAATCTGCCCTTCAATTTGACCATTCTGGATCTTCTCGGGATTCTTCAAGTCCGCCAAATTATGGGTGGACGCACATCGGGCACAGCGACTCCAGCTGACCGTTCAGGATCCCAGCATCTGCATGTAAACGCACATGGCGCACAGCAGCAGCGCAAGCTCAGACAAGCGATGACAGTTTAATTTTGAACTGTCTGAGAGCTCATAATGAGGCTGACGGTCGGTTATTTTGTACTCTGTTTAGAAATTTAGGAATTAGGTCGTCAATAATGGGCGATCTTACGTCATGGTAGCCAGTGTGGACTTGGCGACTAAAAATCAAGCCCGGGATCCGACCAGCCCAACTTCGGTACCACTAGTAAATTCGTCAACGGGGGAGGTGGGGGATGGTGCTAGTGACTTANATACCTTTATTTCTTGACACTTTCCAAACAACTCTGGTTTTTGGATGAGGAGATAAACCAAAGCAGCTTTTTATTTTTTTATTTCCCTAAACTCCTCACACAGTTGTGAGGAGTTTAGGGAAATAAAAAAATAAAAAGCTGCTTTGGTTTATCTCCTCATCCAAAAACCAGAGTTGTTTGGAAAGTGTCAAGAAATAAAGGTATCAAAATCTCATATTGCATGTTGGACCAAGAACGATAGTGTGGGGTCTGAGGGTGTTTGCCACCTGCTTTGGGACAAACACAAGGGGGAGTTTGGGGTAAATGTGAGGTCACGGCTGTCAGCAGTGTCTCAGTTATACAGGCCAAGTGGGACTGCTGATATGAGGAGAGCAGAAACTACAGCGATGACATGATGGGGGACCCGGGAGTTATGCAGTCACACTACCACCATCTTCATCCAGCATGGCGTTTAAGCTGTGTGTGTGAAGAGCTGTGTGTGTGTGTTTGCGTGAGTAAACATTCCTGAGAGGAGTCTTCTCTCAGGACCCTGTGATGCTCCCACAGAGGAAGCCTGTCCACGACCCCTATAAAAAGAGAGGGATGCCCACTTCCTTCAACCCTCAGGCGTGCCAGTCCTTCCTCGAGGCAGATCGGGCCCCATAATTTATTATTTGTTCCCCTCTTGTTAAGGAAATACTTTCTCAATAGCTCACCCTCCTTTGTATATTTTGACTGTTCTTATTTTCATCCTTGATTCAACCCCGTCCTCTCTTATTTATTTGCTTTGTAAACACCAGCTTGGTTCATTACGTCCAAGCTGCCATGAAGAGACTTAAAAAAATTACTTTTGTCCTCACTGAGGACAGTGTTTATTTGTCTGGGTGAACCTGAAGGGGGGGGGGGATACCTATGTGTAGGTGACAGCTGAGTGAAGTCACACAAGCTGACCTGGACCACCGTTACCTCAGGCCTTAATCTGATTCCTCTGCTGCAGATTGAAGATATGTGGACTCAGATGTCATAATTTATCAGCCTGGCCCTGCCACTCTTAATGTAAAGACATTCCCGCACCATGTGAAGCTAATGGGATGTTATATCCACAGCACATGTTGTGTGAAATTGTTCCTTTCAGCAAACCATCTTAAACATTCAATCTCACAGCAAACGTTACCCAGAGGAACCAAACTCTGCTTTATTCCCAGCAGAGCCTTCTTTGTTTGTTAGTGTTGGGCAGGTTCGCCTGTTTTCTCAACCCCCCCCCCCCCATCCATCTGCAGATCCAAGAAAAAAAAGGGGATGAAAAGGCCAAGCCACTGGCTGACCACTGATCCATGACTCAGCATTGAAAATCTCCGCCTTCAAATCAAATTGTCCGGCTTCAAGGAGCAGAGGTGACACAGTCCTGCCCCGGGCCGCTCGGTGTCACTGACCGGCTTCGAGAGGTTAACGCGCATTTTCCTCAGTTGTCAAGGACGTGTGACGAGGGCAAAGGAATACAGAGGAGCACAGAGGTCACTCACAAATATCAAGTCTTTGAAATACTTAATTGTGTTAGAAAAGAAGCACGAGACATTGTACAGACTTTGCTTTAGTAGTAACATCAGTTTGTTGAATAAAAGCTTGAGTGTGATATTCTTCGTGTTAGTATTCATTACAAAATATGATTGAGTTCTATAAGGGGTCCCGTGGTTTGCTTTATTTTACGCAATAAGCATTGTCTAGGTCTTTTTTATATTATGTTGTAAATGGTCATGAGATTATTAAACAATCTATTGTCATTTTGAGAATATTCTATTTGTAATGAATAGAGTGATTTCCAGTGTACCATTGATGTTTTTCATATTGTCAGTGTGACCATCACTTCAGACATATATCCCAACAACTATTGGATTGTCACGAAACTGGTTCAGAAAATCATGATCCCTAGAGAATAAATCTAGAAGACGTTTGTGATTCGTTGACTTTCCATTTAGTGCCACCATAAAGTTGATAAAAGTGTTTTTTGTGAAATATATCAACAATTGCAGGATGGTTTAGACATGTTCCACTAAGAGATACTCATAATCATAGGTCAAAGTGTACATTTGTAAAATACTTATGCTAAACAAGCTTCAGCTGTATTTTGCACTTCGTACGAATTAGCAAATGTGCAAAGCTTAGATGGTGAACACGGGAAATATAATACCTGCTAAACATCAGTATTTTTTAATTATTATGGCAGGCAAGTTAGCTTCCATTTGTTAGCCTTTAGCACAAGCACTGTGCCCACAAAGTCTCACAGACCCGTCTCGTGGGGCTTTGTTTCCCTTTTAAATCTATGCTGATATATTTTTTTAACCCCTTTACAAGCACAACATGCCTGTTGTTTTTCTGGATATTAATTGTTACCTCTGCTTAGGAGGCTTAGTTCTTGGTTTGGTTTGTCATGAGGATTTCAGAAAAACTACTGGCAGTATTTGATGAATCTTGGTGGAAGGGTTAATCATAGGTGAAGAAGGAAGATACAAGCGTAATCTTTCACTTAAAAACATTCTTGGTGGAGGTCTGCACTTGGGTTTTTTTGATATTCCCTTAACCTCAATTTGCCTTAAAATATGTTTCCTTTAAAACGTATCCCTTCACAGATATTCTTAGAGTTGACTCCTGCTACTTGGATTAATAATGTATTCCCTTGCAAAGCTGTTTGAATGCAGGTCATTTGTCCTGTAAAGACGCACATCTAAAAGAGAAGGATAGATGAAGCATTTCCTGAAAGTCAAAAGTGTTATTATTGTGGTGTATTTCCTTGTTTTGCAAAGCAGTCAACCACCTTTCCCCAAGAGGCAAAGAATACAAAAGTGGGAAAACACAACTAAAAGGAAGCCAATTTTCTCCTATGTTAGATACTTTTATATTTACGACGATGCAGAGCCGTCTCATGAGATCAGGAACATTGTGTGGTTCACTTGCTCTTTAAAGAAGAGCACTGAGGGGAAACAATATGTTCTACCTGCTCTCCTCTCAGGTCTCTACTGAGCTTAGCGGGCTGAGAAAAACAGACAAATCTGCTTCCTCCTGAGCCGGCCATGTTTTATGTCGGCACAATTAAACAAGTCACTGTGTCCAACCGTTCCCAGCCCTCTTTCCAGACACTGAACTCAATTATTACAGAGGTTCACTGAGTGTGGCTAATCTTATCTGATCTGTTATTAGCAGCATTTGTCATTTTTATGGCAGACCTAACAAGCCTTTGAGATGGTTAATAGCTGGGAATGTTTGAGTCTCACGTTGAACATGAAGATGAATGAAAGAAGGATCACTGAACATTAATCACTCTGATCTCGCTCTGTATAGTTTTATAGTGTGGGGAAAGTCTTAAGCCCCAAGATTCACAAGGAGTTCTCATGAAACAGAGACTTTCACAAAAGAAAATCACACAGTAAGGAATGATCTCTCGAGCAAATGGTTTTATTTCATTTAAATCTAAAGCACATTCTGACGCTTGGGCAGAAGCGTAAAGAAAAAATTATTTATCACAGACAGCTTGAAAAGTCGTGTAGAAAATAAGGAAAAGACTACAGAGGAATGCAGATCCTTATATCTGAAACGACAGCAAATTGGGAAATTGATTTTCAAAGGAGGAATAATGAATCACACCGGCTCTCCTTGTAGAAACATCCAGGTGCTCTTTGTGCAAAAGCAGAAAAAGCGTCATGAATCATTTGAAAAGCAAACAGTGTGCTAAAGACTTGACTGTCAGTTATAAGTAAAACTAAACACGAATGCATGACTGTAAAAGCAAAGGGAAGGTCGGAGGCTTTTAAGTACCAAAAAGTAGAGCTGTCGATATGTTTGTTAACAGTGAAGGGGTCAAAGGTTAAGAGCCGGTAATCAGACAGAGTTTGGGTGATGGACGAGGTGGTATCAGAGGGGGGATTACTTCACGGAGCCGCACAGTTAAACTTGTGTGTGTGTGTGTGTGTTTGTGTGGAGATCGTTCTTCAAAGAGGAGACAACACTTTTATGAATCATATCAGGGAGCTGGTAGAGATAAAACCCACTTAAGGAAATATCGCAGACAGACACTGAATGGATACACACTCATCGCCCGGCCCCCATCCTCCCACCTCTTTTAGACAGCTCCATCTTTCTTGGAGTCTCGAGGTCATCTGCCAGCGACCTGTTATCACCGCCCGGCTCAGGCCTCCAGGCGGCATTAATCTGTCGTGATAAGTTATATTTTAATTGCTGCGTTGGTACCTTAAGCTTCATCCAAGTGTGTGTTTCACGGTTCTCTTTGGTTTGTTTTCTAATCCATGTGAGAGGGAGCATCCAGTCTGACTCTCGAGTCACTGGCCACACAGGCACTCCTCTTCTTCCAACAGACTCCTAAACCAGAGGAATACATTAACACAGAGTAAAGGGGAGACAATAACAGAGAGAAAGAACATTGTAATTTATTGAGCTTCAAAGTTGAGCCCTTTCCATTGGGGAGTTGAAGCTGCTATATATGTTATTGCCAAAGCTACCAGGCTCCATTGACAAAGAGTTGGATCGCATAACTAGGAAGTTGTTGCCTCGATTGGTTTGTGAAATCGAGTTATTGTGTGAATTTGTTGTTTTAGAAGATATGTTTGGAATCACCAAAGTCACACAATAACACTTATTATCCGATTGAGGCGGTGGTAGACCAGCAACCCCCCGTTTTCTGTGAGGTGAAATGACTCTTTTTGTCAATGGAGTCTGATGGCTTCGGCAAAAGCATAGATCACGGGTCTTAAAAGAGGTTTTTGACCCCAAAGGATCCTCAGATTTACTTGGGCCACAAAACCATTGTTTGAGAATGTTTTGAAAGTTGTTGGTTATTTTCAAAAGTTTAAATATGTCTGAAAATTCACATTTCAGTAACCTGAATCCAATGAATCCAAATTAGTAGCAAAGATGAATCAACTTATTTGTAAATAAACACCAAAAGAAGCTCAGCTACTAAATGCTCCGTTATGTTTACCAGCTATCTGCTAACTGTTTCTGTCTGTTGTTTGGGACTTTCCCTGAAAACAGCTGCCGGCTGCATCTGGAAACGCTGGTGTTGAGGGAGGTGAGAGTGAACCAAAGCAGGGAAGTCAAGAAAACTAAAACAGTGAAGTGAAAGATGTTATTTAGCGCAGTAGGAGCGCTGACGGAAGTCTTTGATTCAATATTAGTTCAAGAATACCAATTATAGCAGCTTTAAGATAGGACCCTCAGTGCACTCATCCACCTCACTTTACTTGAAAGGATTTAGTCCTTCGTTTAGCTACTTGTTGCTGAGTCATGCAGCAGCAGTACAGCAGAATGAATTACAGTGTAATATGGTTCACATTAGCAGTGAGAAAAAGCAGCGAGCATCTGCCTAAACTGCTCTAAGATGCTTTCACAGGCGATAAGCCACCCGGTAATGGCAGCCTGGGGTCATTAGGGTCTGTTGTGCAGACAGTTTGCCACGGCACGGAGAGAGTAAACATTTCTTATTCATGGTTTTAATCACGGATGACAAAACATCCAGTAAATAAAAAAGGGAAGGGGAAGAAAGTTGGTGTTGACTGTGAGCCTTAGAAGTCTTTGGGACAGTCTGCTGGGTAACGAGAGGGAATTAAAACTGTGGCGAATTTAGAAATGTGTGTAAGGGGAGGCTGACATTAACAGGCTGCCGTGGAGAAGAGCTGGCGTAGGCCCAGCACTCAGCGCTGACAGTGTGAGGTCCTCTCTGCCCATTCTAATGAGCCATTGTGAGGGTCTGAGCACAGCGGGGGCCCCCTGGGGGTCAAATGCAGTCAGTTCTGCGATGGAGGGGCCGGGAGGAAGTCCGTGGCAGAAGGATGAAATGGTTGAACTGCGTCAGTCCACATACCACCACCACCAGATGGTTAAACAGCCTCAGTGGAAGACGGGAGGGACATGAAACGACGTCAAGGTCACATACAGGAAACTGCATCATATTCAGAAGCCGCTTCCTGTGACCCCAGTAATGTCAGCCCTTTGTTTTCGCAGAAATATCTTCTTATGGACAATGCGTATGTCCAGGTGACATCATATGAGATAATATTGGACCTATACACAGGATCTTGTGGAAATACTCCTTGCATTATTCACAGTGACGCTTACGCAGAGACTTCTTGTTGATGTTGTGTAAAAAACAGGGACAATGGACAGGTCATTTTTCACGTGTGAGTCACGATCGACTCATATAGTACGTAAAGAAAGTCAAACGGAGCATCAAGCTAATTTAAATCTAATGAGATCATCGCAGGGTTATGATATGCTTTGGCCCTACATTTCATTCTTCTCGACAGGTCTAAATGCGTGGCACCGTAGGGGACATCGGTTTTCATTTGAACCCTACAGCAGAGATGGGAATCTACAATATACAGTATGCCATGGAGTACTTTTTTTTTTTAATTGCAATCAGAAAGTAGAGCATTCGACTATGACACCTTTGACAGGACATGACAAACTAATCAGTGAAACCACCTGGTGCTGTGTTTTTGTTGGCAGGAAATGTTCCATGTTCTCCAGAAAGACATGGCTGGTTCATAGCCACACCGTGACCGACAGTCTCACTAACAGTCAGACCTCACTGTCACAAAGCCTTCTTAAATGTTAGGGGTCTCAGTTTGTAATAACAACCTATAGCTCTTTTAAGAGGGCAATAAGAGTTTTGACGATCAGAGCTGTACATATGGCAGCTCTGAGCATTACGTCAGTACTCATACATTATGGTTCCTTATGCATTTTTCTTTAAATGCACAATATGTAATTTTATTGCCTCTAGGGGTCTCTCAATCCTTACAATAACAAAAGACGGAGTGTGGTGTTGTCGCTGTCGTCATCAGAGTCAGCTATTCACCGAAGTTCGTTCAGGATTAATTCATTGTTCAGGACATTTTTACGGAAAGATGAATTATCCTCAGAGGTCTTCTCCATGCCAAAACAAACGGACCAAGTAATTAAAACCGGAAACCACTTCGTAAAACAAACTCTTTGTTTAATTACTCAATCATTATAGTGTACATTTGTATGCTTCCAAGCTCCCATTAATAATCAATTGCGCTCTAAACTGAAAAGCCAAGTTATTATACAGCAGTTTTACACAAAAAACATCAGCATGACTGTCTGACCTGTAGGCGGTTATTTCCATTTCTCGGGCCATCTTCTCGCTGAGCAGCTCTTTGTAGTCCTCACACTGCTCCTTCATCTGCACCTGGAAGTCTTCCTCCTGCTGCCGCATTTCATCTAAAGTACCCTGAAACACACAGACACAGCATGTTGGGATTAGAGATTAATATACTACATAACCACTGGTCCTTCACATCTTATGATTAGTCTTTTATCAGTCGACTCTCAGACCTCTAACTCAGCGATCTCGTCCATGTACGCAGCCTTCTTCATCTCAGCCTCGTCCTCCAGCTCCTCGTTACACTTCTCAAGCTCAGCGAGCTCCTTCTGTAGCTCTGCAATCTATAGAAACACAGAATTAAAGACTTCTACTTAGTTATATGGTCAGTAAAAACATAGTCATAACATTGAGATGTTCCCTTCAAGGTCACCATCATGTTTTTGGCCACCATCTTTAGCTTCCCAACAACTGAGAAATACTGTATGTCTGGATTTTTAGCTGCATGATATTTCACTTTATTCGCCAGCTAGTTGTTAGTTTTGTCGGATTATGTGAGCTTTTAAAAAGACTTACTCTCGATGGCAATGTCTGTCAGTCATTCAGTGCAGACATTTTTGGTTCAGACTGAAAAATCTGAACAATTATAAGATTGACTGCCATGAAATTGGTTCATAAATTCATGATCCCCAGAAGATGAATACATCTTAGTATCTTTGTGATCCTTTGACTTTCATTTTGCCCACTATAAGTTTGATATGATAACAAACAATAACCCAAAGGATAAATGGGATCATTCTTAGTGGGTTAGTCTCAACGACCAATCACATTACAGTTATTTTATCCTTTTTGTAAACATAAAACTGACTTAAATTTGGCTCTGAGAAACCAAAGTAAAGTATGCAAATCAACCTGTACTAGACAGATAAAACCGGTTTCTTTACTTCTGCACCCCCTCCTGTGTCAGAGGCTGTGCCGTCCTGCCGTGAGTAATTACAGCAATCACAGAAATTCAACAATTAGCTGTCACAGCCAGATGGGGATCCAGGCGGTCGTCTTTCAGCGCGATCATGTGAGCAGAGGAAGACCCTGATGATGACTATTAAACCTGGGCGAGTCACTTACTCCTACCCTCAGTAGTGGCCCATCAGTGTCTGCTCCATTATATACATTTCTGCGTCGGGGCTGATTTCACTGCAATCTGTTTGTTTGGCCATGTTGTGTCTCAGTGAGAAACCAGACCCGAGGCATCCATCAGCGGCGAGAGAGGAAACAGAGCAGATCAGGCCGAGCTGTTCATCCGTCAGGCTGGATGGAGCAGAACTGAGCACTGCATATTAAAGAAAAGTAGATGATGTCGGGAGAGCTCTGCTGTGGTTACAGAGGCTCACTGTTTATTTAAAGAGCTGGAGGTAGAGCCGCAGTAATGAGAAGTAAACCGCCATGTTTGATACAGATGTGGTCTAACCACTGATGGATGTCGAAGAGACCAAAGTGCAGGAAGAGGAGGAATTTTCTCTGGGTCACCTGCTGATTTTACCTGAGTCATAATTTCCTGTTTCGTCTCTTTTTTTAAGATTCTTCCTTTCATCACAGCAACATCAACATGGACACATATTTAAGACAAGAAACAGGGCAGGTAACATTACAATAAAAAAACAATATGACAACCCTTTAAGGTACATTTGAGCTGGGATTAAACTCTGTATTTTATTTTTATTTTATGACTGACTTCCGTCTACGTCCATCTCACTTGCCATACTTTGCTATTTCACTCAAAACTCTGTTGCTTTATTTTTCTGATGATGAGAGATATGTGATAAAGGTTTATTTTCTCTCTTCCATTTGCAGAGGAAGTCTCCTGTCAGAGTGTGTGTGTGTGTGTGTGTGTGTGTGTGTGTGTGTGTGTGTGTGTGTGTGTGTGTGTGTGTGTGTGTGTGTGTAGTAGTAGTAGTAGTAGTAGTAGTAGTAGTAGTAGTAGTAGTTAGTGTGTGTGTGTGTGTGTGTGTGTGTGTGTGTGTGTGTGTGTGTGTAGTAGTAGTGTGTGTGTGTGTGTGTGTGTGTGTGTGTGTGTGTGTGTGTGTGTGTGTGTGTGTGTGTGTGTGTGTGTGTGTGTGTGTGTGTGTGTAGTAGTAGTAGTGTGTGTGTGTGTGTGTGTGTGTGTGTGTGTGTGTGTGTGTGTGTGTGTGTGTGTGTGTGTGTGTAGTAGTGTGTGTGTGTGTGTGTGTGTGTGTGTGTGTGTGTGTGTGTGTGTAGAGAGAGGTGTGTGTGTGTGTGTGTGTGTGTGTGTGTGTGTGTGTGTGTGTGTGTGTGTGTGTGTGTGTGTCAAGTTTTAAGACATTTCCGATGCTGCAGGCGCTTTGAAAGACTGAGCTTAATAACTGAGGACACAGAGGGCCATAAATCCTGTCTGAACTGAAGCCGAGCCCTTCACATCTCCCGCTGAAAGTGTCCGCAGAGTAAACACTCTGGTCAGCAGGATCTCCCACACTGTTGCTCCGCTGTCACTCAGCTGCTCTCCCCTGCCTTCGCCTGCTGTGGGAACCCATTCATTTTAAACTTTGTGTTTGATTTAGGAGCTGATGGCCAGTCGTGGGTTGTAAGACTCCTCGCTTTTCTTGTCAGTCAGGAGCTGGGAAACGTGTCCTGGGAAGATCTGAATCAGCAGGCAGCAACATTAATTTTAATGATGGGTAAATCTGAGACTTACTGTAAAGGGTCAGTTTAACCCCCAAAAATACAGATTTTCTTACTCAGCACTATTTTTAATTTAACGGAAATAGCTCATTTTTATGATAATCGCTTATTCACTTTTTTTTGTCGAGAGCTAGCTGAGTCGATTATCTGTTAATGAAAAATCCAGCTAGCACTAACTGCTGGTTCACATAGCTTAGCATAAAGAATACACATGGGGTGTTTCTCAATGTATGCTTGCTTGGTAGCACATGTCTTCAGAGTCACTTGCTTCAGAAGCGATGCAAGAATACTTCCTGGCATTCGGAAAACAAACGCCGTTTCTCAATCTCGAGGATATTGGCTTCCAAGCCAATATTTCAAGGATGCTACGTCATCAAGTGGCGCAGAAGGACCGTTCCAATGTCCAGCATACTTGGAATTCCACCGAGGCCTCGTCCTTGGTTTGGGGGAAATTTCGAGGCTGCACATGGGTAGACTTCGCGGCCTTAAAATCCCCACAATGCTTTGCGCAAGGACCAATTTCAAAAACCCTTGCGGAGAATGGCTGAACCGACGCAGGCAAACATTTAAATGTAAGTATGTAGTGGCGTAGAACATGTGTTGGTAAACATGTTACTTTATTACATTTGTTATCACCAAAAATGTGTTCCGTGAAAGTAAAGCAAGTTCATAATTAGATAGACATCGTGAGGTATTTATTNGGGAAATTGGTCCGTGCGCAAAGCATTGTGGGGATTTTAAGACCGCGGAGTCTACACATGTGCAGCCTCGAAATGTCTCCAAACGAAGTACGCCGGGCTCGGTAGAATTCCAGTATGCTGGACATTGGAACAGTACAACAACAATATTTTCGAAGTGTGCGTGGCAGTGGATTCTCAGAGTCTTGTCAAAACCAAATCCTAAATGAGTCTTAATGTTAGCACTACTTTGTGTGGTCTGCGTGAACAGACCCTCTAAAAACAAATGAAAAGTGAGAAAGCAGTTGTACTCTCACCAGCTTCTTCACTTCACTGACGTCCTTCATCTTTGACAGGTCTTTCACCGTTGACCCTGCAGCTCCTCCCACTTGCAGTTGTTTTCCATCACCACGGGTAACCACAGCAGAGGATGCTGCACCGCACTCAAACTGCAAAGACAGAAGAAGTGGAATAAGTGCCGCTGTGAAACTTCTGACCTTTCATTTTGAGACTGGAAATGCACAGGAGCATTGAGGTTAGCGCTTTCTTTTGGGCAGTAAGTGCACTCTGACAGGGGAGCAAAGAGCAATCAGAGCCTCTCAGAGCGTCTGATGGCTAAAGCTCTCCAGCACATTGCTGATTAGACGGAACAAATGCAGCAGAACAAGCTACACAAGGGTGCACAGGTGTGTGGGAGCCAGCCAGCAATCACCATTACTGTTCAAAACCCAATAGCAATCATTTTTAGCATCGAGACAATTGCGTTTCATAATCGAGGCCAGACAGGACGGTGTACAGCTGGCGGGAGGAAAGACATGGGGAGGGGGAATAGATGGGGTATGGGGGAACAAAAACCATCCATTTTGACAGACACACAAATAGATCAATAAAAATATAATATACATAGGCTGGATACCCTGCCTCTAAATGAAGGACACAAACACACACACACACCAGCGTCCACTCCAGTGCTGCAGAGGAGCCTGGGAAGGCGGCCAGCAGTCTGATTACAGCCCTGACCTCTGAACCAGGCAGACATCCTCGCCCCAGAGGGGGTCAGACCCACCGGAGCTATAGTCTGACCCCAATGCAGCACGTCACACACACATAACACACACACAGGTATACAAAGGCATGCTGTTCCTGGTGTAGTGCTGAACCCCTGATTCTCAAGTTCTTCCCTGGTGTTGTGTTAAGAGGGAAAGAAAACAAGTCGGAGTATCGTTGTGTGATTTGTGAAAATTGAGATTTACATCTGGACCTGAGCGTGTCAGAGGGAGAGGAGGGGGGGGCGGTGGTCAGTAGCAGGGTGAGAATGGCAGCTGCTGGTGGAAGAGATGCTCGAATCCTTTTTACTCGCATAAGAGAAGCAATTAAAAAGTCAAACAAAAGTTATTCAAACTTATAATGAAGTACAATTACAGAATTATGAGAATTAAAGTATGAAATGTAAAAGTATTTTTTAATACTGATGCATCGAGGTGCAACTGTCATTTTGCTGTTGCTTGTTCAAGGTTTATCTGGTGTTTCTTTATAGGCAAGTCGTTTTGTCCTGTGATTGCCACACCTAGGGGTCAACCTCCCTTTCAAAGGGTCACAAGATAAATCTGAGGGGTCACAAGATGATTAATGGGGGAAGAGAGAAGAAAAAACAAAGTTCTGCCTCACAAGTTTGTATTCCTTTTTTGGACTTTTCTCATGTATTTTCTGTTTTGTGTGAATCTAGGTATATTTAGACAGACACTACGAGAAAATAACGTGTTTGTTTTTACATTAGAGCATGCAAACAACTAGTAGAGACCTAAAATACAAGTTTGAACCTGAAAAGTTACATTTTATAAATCCTTAATGTATTTTACCAAGATATTTCTTTAACCCAAAGATGTAGTTAGTGTGTCCACCATTGGTGTGCATGAGTTTGACTGAGGTCATAGTATGATGAGAACTAAAGTCAGAAATAACTTTGTTGTGATCCGACGGTTGTTCACAGACATGCTACTGTAAAGTATCCGGCATTAAAAGGTTTCCCCTTCATGACATGTTTATGTATTTTTTGTTGTACCTGGAGGCTCTCAGCCAGCTGGCGGTAGTACTCCTTCACATCCAGGGCCGCAGTGATGTCAGGGACGCCAAATGTAATAGCTCTCATCGCTCCTGTCGTCCCTTCATCTGGCTCCAGCATGCTCTCCACCGCCTGCAACATGGCAACACACACAAACACACAGAAGTGAAGTTTATGCACATCATGCACACAGTGGTGATCTGTGACAGAGTACTTTTTTTTCTCAGCTAAACTTCAATCGCTGGATACAAATCATGCCATCTACTGTTGTAGTTGGACTGGGGGGGGATCTAATTTGATCTATTGTATATGTTTAATAGTTTTGACAAGAACCGTTCATCCAATTATGTTAGCATATAGCATGTTTTCTATGTAAAATCTTGATTTGTAACTATTAACTTAAGCTGAAATACATAACATGGTTGTGCAGTCGAAGTGGTATAACATAGAAAAATAGTCAAATGAAGGTACCCTTAATCATTCTTAAATACAAAACATTAGTAAATGTACTTTGTACCATTCCAACTCTTCAAATACAAACACATGCACTACATTTTAAAGCCTTTTACACACATGAAAGACCTCAACATACATGTATTATACATAGCCCCTTGAGTAAAAAACCCACATCCATTACAGAGAAAATGAACTGTTACAGAGCTGCAGCAGCAATCTAACATTTTCTCTCCTTTGCCCTCCACACAAATAACGACATGGCTATCGATTTGTCAGGGGAATGGGGGTATCTGGAAGTGGCGATAATAACAACAGTTAATAAAACAAAGGGAACTTCTGTTTTCATTTGGTATTCAGCTGCATTTCCCGGACTGCGAGTTATCGAGCGTGTCCCAGAGGGAGTGTGTTAAACGCCGGGCGGCCCAGCTCTGCAGAGGGAAACGCAGAGTGATGGAGCTGGTCCCGCTTCAGCTGCCTCCCTCCCTGCCTGCAGCCTCCAGATCTGACACTGGGGCGCGTCTGTCATCTCCTGGCGACGTGGAGAGCATTGCAGAAGGTGGAGGCAGCAGGGTGTGTGTGTGGATGTGATAAAGGTAATCATGTGCATTGGACAAGGTTGACATTTTGGAACATGTACTGTATCTATTAACCTTAAAGCCAAGATTGCGTGACAGATGTGTCTCTCATATCTTTGTGTTGAATATGAAGGTTTTTTTGACAAAAGTAGCCAACATACTATACAAGCTGTACAGATGTTAGCTTTGAGCTAGCCGGCCTTTTTGTGTGTTCATGTACAGTTGCAAGAAAAAGTATGTGAACCCTTTGGAATTACCTGGATTTCTGCATAAGTTGGTCATAAAATGGAGGAATCCACTGCTGTCCAGAAAAAAAAATTGCTGCACGTTTGAAGTTTGCAAAAGAGCACCTGGATGTTCCACAGCACTACTGGCAAAATATTCTGTGGACAGATGAAACCAAAGTTGAGTTGTTTGGAAGGAACACACAACGCTATGTGTGGAGAACAAAAAGGCACAGCACACCAACATCAAAACCTCATCCCAACTGTGAAGTATGGTGGAGGGAGCATCATGGTTTGGGGCTGCTTTGCTGCCTCAGGGCCTGGACAGATTGTCATCATCGACGGAAAAATGAATTCTCAAGTTTATCAAGACATTTTGCTGGAGAACTTAAGGCCATCTGTCCACCAATTGAAGCTCAACAGAAGATGGGTGATGCAACAGGACAACGACCCAAAGCACAGAAGTAAATCAACAACAGAATGGCTTCAACAGAAGAAAATAGGCCTTCTGGAGTGGCCCAGTCAGAGTCCTGACCTCAACCCAATTGAGATGCTGTGGCATGACCTCAAGAGAGCGATTCACACCAGACATCCCAAGAATATTGCTGAACTGAAACAGTTTTGTAAAGAGGAATGGTCCAAAATTCCTCCTGACCGTTGTGCAGGTCTGATATGCAACTATAGGAAACGTTTGGTTGAGGTTATTGCTGCCAAATGAGGGTCAACCAGTTATTAAATCCAAGGGTTCACATACTTTTTCCACCCTGCACTGTGAATGTTTACATGGTGTGTTCAATAAAAACATATAATTGTTTGTGTGGTTTTAGCTTAAGCAGACTGTGTTTGTCTATTGTTGTGACTTAGATGAAGATCAGAACACATTTTATGACCAATTTATGCAGCAATCCAGGTAGTTCCAAAGGGTTCACATACTTTTTCTTGCAACTTTATAATGACATTAAATGATTCTATTCTATTCTATATTGCTAGACCGACTAGAAAACTGGGTGGGACTTTCGGCAACAGTCCTAAATTGGTTTGATTCCTACTTAAAGGGGACATATCATGCNACACACACACACACACACACACACACACACACCCCCCCACACCCTCCTCCTCCTCCTCCTCCTCCCAGCCAGGCCAGATGCGATGGAGGTTATAATTCCTCGCTTACAGATGTAATGCAGGCTGTAATACGTTGCCGTAATGTTCCTGCTGGCTCAGTTCTCTGGTGCTGAATTGGAAGCAGCTGCATGGTGACAAGAGTTGGTGGGAAATTGTCAGGGAGGAAGAGCAGAGATGCGGAGGAGAGGAGCGAGCACTGCACAGCTCAACCCACTGAGAGCTGCAGTCCTCCCAGCATAATGGGAGACTGACAGTGATGAAACACCGCACTTTTGGCTTGTTTTAGAGTCAAATGCCGACTATTGTATCGTTTGTCTCCAGCGAGCTCTACTCCATTTTTATGACCCAAGCCGTTCCATTTTCACTGTCTCAAAGGCATTTTAAACATTTTAGTTCAGTATTGTTTTGCATCCGCAAACTCAGTTGCCACTGATGCACAATTGATGTTTTTTTACGTCACTTGTGTCCTTTATATCCTTAACTATGAAGGATGCTTGACAAAATAACCATCTTTCTCTCCTCTTACATGTTATAGTTACCTGTTTCTATCCTTTTATGTAATCCAAAAAATTATCATAGACCTGGTCAAGTGGTTATTTTCTTTCATAATTTAGCATTTTAATCAACTCAAATGAAGCATTATCTGTCATCAGCTTAACCTGGTTAGTACCTTTTGGTAGAGTCGGACTCTTCCAGTGGTGAAGGATAATTGTAGGAACAATAATTACGCCAGCTAGTGCTAAACAAAATGAGTTCAACAACAATAGTTAGAATCCAAATACGATAACAATGAAGTAGATGAATGAGGAGGCCTGGTGCTCAGTCTTTTTCATAAAGTATAATGGGGGAAAAAAATAAATAAAAAGAAAATGGGCATTACAAAGGTAAATGTTCTTCACGCACTCTTGGGCAGAACAAGGAGAGAAGTTATATTAAAAGCCTTTATTTAGTCAGGCATATCGGTTGAAACGCCCACCGGTTCACAGGGTCCTCATCAGGGCATAGAACAAGCACTGGATTTTGAAATGTTAATGTAGCTTAATGATCCTGAACGTGAGTTTTAACTATCTGTTCTTACTGTTAGAGCTGGTGAAGTTGTGCCCCTCACATCAGGGGCGGACTGGCCATTGGGAATACCGGGAGTTAGCGGTACCGAGTTGGGCCGGTCGGTCGGTCGAGTTTCCCGGGCTGACTTTTAGTCCCAGTCCGCCCCTGCCTCACATACAGGAATGCAGCCTCTTTGACGGACAGCTTTGAGCTAAAGTTGCACAGAATGTGATTAACAACAAGTTTCTCCTTAGCTACTGGGAGATTGTTGAACACCGATAGCAGCAGGACTTCTCTACTTTAGCTTACTGCTGTCCATCAAACACACTGCCACCCTGCCAGCGAGGTTCCACATCTTCTCCACCAAACTCTCTCTGCGTGAGTCTCAAAGTAAATGCACCCACAGTAATTGCCTCCAACACAAATTAATCTGGTGCTTTAAAAAGACTAGATGAGCTGAGAACCCCTACTGGTGGATGGATTGGTGGACTGGGCTTTGTATCTAGTTAGCCTCCTTCTGATCTTCCTCCTCCTCCTCCTCCTCCTCCCCCTTCCTCTGCATTGCGGTGTCTACTTGCTGTTCAGTGAAACAGGTGGATGTGCTGATAGTTCCTGAAATGGCTGTTCAGGGTGGGAACAAAGACTTTTGTTCTACTTTTCATCAACCTGTGGTGTGATTTACTGCTCAGACTGCAGTGTTCCTCTCAGACACCTCCTGAAATGAAGTTGAACTTTTTTACTTGCTGCCTGTGTTAATTTGATTTTCTGTGCAGGATGTCGATGCTGTGACAGCAGAGTGTTTGGCGCTGAGGGAGCAAGTGGCTATCTACGAGGAGCAGCTGGCCAACATGGAGGCCCAGCACAAGACGGTGAGGGGGAGAGAGGAAATATAGCCGCAGTGAGATGAAACGGGAATTGTTTATAGTCTTGAAAATGACTTAAAATGTAGCACCTAGGTCAGACAGGGAAGTTGGAGAAATGTCCAGCCCTGTGGTGACACACACAGCTGGGATGACCTTCATGCAGAGCCAAAAAAGCCCCGTCAACAGCAACATATGGAGAGAGGATTAAAATGTGTTATCTAGTGTATCATGCAACGAGGAAACATTGGGCCATGATTGAATGTGTCATTTCAGTCCTCATACAGTTTTCAGTGCAGAGATAAACAAATGACATAAGTTGTTTTTCAGTGAAGTAAAGATGCTGGGAGGTCAATTCTACCTTTGGACAGAGTTTCTCTTTTCTCATTTACAGTTTCCGGCTAAACTAAGACAGATGTCTGCTTGGTGTTAGGACAGAATGTGAAGCACATTTTAGACAGTGCCATTGCACACAAGTGAAAGTAGTCAGAAAGACAGAAATTGAGGCAAAGATACAAGTAAAATATTATTTCATGCTAATATATTTCTTTCTGAGTAAAACGTGCAGGTTTTCTAGGGCTTAATGAATCAGCTTCATAATCGAACATGGACAAGATGAAAAGGTCAGTCAGAGAGTTGGGGGTCATCTCCCCCAGAGTCCTTTGTTATTTACATTAACATTGTTAGAGATTTAGACAAGGGCTCTTTCAAATTGCAATAAAATAAAAGGAGATGGCTGATTCAAAACAGTTTGTATGGTAGAAATCAGCCAATGTGAAGATCATTTCCTGAAGTAAAAGTAATAAAAAGAAACGTCTTGTATTCACATTTGGCAACATACTGTGTAGGAGTATAACTTAAGTAGGTTTTTAGCTTTAGCTGTCAAATGTAAGGTTTGATCTTGAGAAACATACATAGCTGAGATCCTAAAACCGATTAAAAGCTCTCGTTAATGTCTCAAATTAAGAAGATATTAAGAACATAGATATACAGTTGCAAGAAAAAGTATGTGAACCCTTTGGAACTACCTGGATTTCTGCATAAATTGGTCATAAAATGTGTTCTGNTGGGCTGGTGGCCCACTGCAACCTGAGACACCAACTTTTCCACACACACACACACACATGTGTGTGTGTGTGTGTGTGTGTGTGTGTGTGTGTGTGTGTGTGTGTGTGTGTGTGTGTGGAAAAGTTGGTGTCTCAGGTTGCAGTGGGCCACCAGCCCAGACTGAATGACTGCTGGTGATCAACACTGATTGGGCTACAGAGCAGCAGCTGTGCAGAGTTTCAGCTGATTCACCAAGAGGAGGAGGAGGAGGAGGAGGAGGAGGAGGAGGAGGCTTTACAACACTGCCATCTAGTGCTGAAGGTACATCAGCACAACAAAGGTATGAGCATGTGCAGCAAAACTAAAGGAATTAAAGATTTACATGCTTAAGTAGACTTATGGACTTAACATTCAGCAATTTGTTTAATGAGTTTTAGAGACATAGTAATTACCAGGCATCTGGGGGTCTAATGAATGGTGCTAGAGGTTGCATTATGGGTAAATGTTGCATATGGGTACTGTTTTTGGAGCTTAACCCACACTGGTGACTGAAAATGTATCTCAGCTTCTACTGTACTACCAACTGTTTGTGTCTTTATCATGCAAAAAAAACTGAGGACAATCTGCATCTGAGGCCTGTTCATGTTTTATGGAAAAAGTGTATTTGTGTATTCGTCACCCTTGGCATGGAATATGTTGCTGACTTGAAAATAATGAATTGATTGTTAAACGCTTTTAAATCCAAAAGTAACCCTTACCTGGTTATTGAAACATAGTTTTGTTTTTATTGTTTGTGTTATTTTAAAGAGGACCTATTATGATTGTTGGGGTTTCTCTTTTCTGTAGTGTGTTATAAAGTTTCGTGTGGAACCTATATGCTGCAGGTCTCCCTTGAAATAGAGATCTATGATCTCAATGGGACCAATCTCGTTAAATAAAGGTTTGAAATGAAATGAAATGAAAAAAGGTTTGTGTGCATGTAAATGTTCTGCACAAGCTAAAATCCCAAAGTTTCTCTCCCACACACTTCCCCCCCCCCTTCCTGAAACGCCTCGATTAAACTACTTTGTTTACTTCTGTAACATAGTGACATCACTATGTAACACTTGTGCTCCCATTGGCTAGCGCTCCAAGACATTCTACGTGATAGGCTAAGGAGTGGGAAATCTCTTTGCGGTTGACTAATCACAACAGGAGTTGGCCAGCTAACCAATCAGAGCAGACAGAGCTCTAGTGTCAGAAAGAGGGTGAAAAGAGGTGCAGCAGCACAGGCAGTATGAGACAAATAAAGACTTTTAAAACATTAACCTTTATTGTTATTATAAGATGTTTTACCTCAGCAACATCTTGCCGGTCCTGCAGCAGGAGGATCCTCTGCTGAGCGGCCTTCTCATACTCCGTCACCAGACGCTCCAGCTCTTTCTGCCGCTCCTCGGTGTCACACAGGATCTCGTCCTGCAGGGAGACGCAGAGACGACAGTGATGGATGTTGACAAGGTTATAGATCAACCCCGCCTGTCACTGTACAAACTGAAGTCAAATTGATGGGATGCGATGGGACGTGCAAAAACATTATAGGAATGTCACACAGAGAAACATGCACAGACACACCCAGCAGCAGCAGCAGTACGTTACCCTCTCCCTGCGCAGCCTCTCCACCACGGCATCCAGACTGAAGTGAGGCAGGACCACAGAGGAGGAGCTGCTGGAGGCCTGCCGCCTGCTCAGCTGCTCCTCCAGATCAACTATCTGACATTCAAGAGACTCGTTCTCCTCCTCAAAACAATGAGCCTACAGGGCATAGAGACAGATTAATAAGGTATTATAGCTATACACTGTACAGTATATATAAATCATGTAAGTTAGAGCATTACTCTATACTGTACTTAAGTACAAACGTGGGGTACTTGATACAAAATGAACACAACCTTAATGGGCACCTATAATTCTTTTGGGGGTTTTCCATTTCCTGTAGTGTGTGTTATGTAGGTTTTTGCGCATTTAAATAGTCTTCAAAAGGTTAAAATCCCAAAGTTGAGGTCAGAGGGAGGCAAATATGAACCTGGAAATGAGCATAATAGGGCCCTTTAAACATGTACAGCAGAAAAAACAGTATATAGTGTACATTAATGCAGCAGTTCACTTTCTATTATATATTAACCTATATATTTTACTTAGGGATTTGAACGACGACTTGAAGTTGTTGTGAAGCATTTTTACAGTGTCGTATTAGTACTTTTGCTGAAGTAAAGGATTACACATATTTATTACACTGGTATATTCTTTATGTAAAGAGTTAGATTCACTTCTTCATTTAGCAAGGGGCAGAAGAAAGATAAAGTGCTGATGCGTCTCGAGCAGTTTGTCCTCACCAGCTCAATAACCCGGACCAGGCGGTCGTTCAGGGAACCGATGACGTTTCTGTCCTGGACAAACCGGCTCAGACCCTCTTTGTTGAGCGCCTTCGCAGCTACAAAGTCTAAGTTGTCACAGTCACACTCATCTATGGAGGCCCCCCTGAGAGGAGGACACAAAGCACCAAAGACAAGACTGGAAATGAAGGATCCTGGGGGGTCATTTGTCCACCTTCAGGCATAGTTAATGACTTTAATAAAGAAAAGGCAAACACAGTAAGTGTTTGACCACGGTGCAGCCTCATTCTGTTAATGCTTCAGTGCTTTCAGCCCTGCTGTCACGGTAAATGAACATAGACTGTGATGGAATTATTTCCATGAGGACAAAAGGAATTTGTACAGTGCTAGGAGGGAAGTGAGAAGAAGTAATGGTGATCTACTTTCAGACCATCCGTAATCATTTTCTCTCCTGTATCTTTTTGTAGATTGTAATAATAAAAAGAAAAAAACAACCAACTTTTAAGCAAAAAAAGAAATACATAATGTAGCTATACAAAGATGAAAAAGCTCTAAAAGAAAAAAGATTCCCCACCCATTACACAGCTGAGATGTTTTTCACCGGTTCTTAACAAGTTTTACTTCCATATTTTGACCATTTTTGATCAAACTTAGAAAATGGATCACCAGAATGTTTTACCCCCATACATTTTCCATCAACATTCAGGAGAACATGCGGAACCCCTCTCAGATATGTTACCCCAAAATGGTTTTCTGATAAAAAAATAAATAAACTTCTTATATGACATATTCTCAGCAGAAAAACTGTCACTAATTTATCAATATCTTTTAAATTGGTGAAGTGCAGTAGGCCTACAAATACTGAAGCTGCCCTCCACCCAGAGCCCCTCACTGACCTGACGGAGGCCCGGTACCCCCCCGCACACTGCGCACTCGACCCTCCATTCCGACTCCATCTTTCATCCTCGAATAGCTTTCGGTAGGAAGACACTCGCAGCATGGCCATGGCTCTGAGGTTCAAACTGGACTAAACACAACAGGGAGAAAGTGGCAGCAGGTCCAGGGCGGCGGGGGGGTCTTATACCGCAGAGACGGAGAATGTAGCGTCCAGGTGAAGATCTCTCACCGTGCACTGAGCGGACTAAATATACCACGAACATCAGCCTGTAACGATTTCACATGTACCTGAAGAGTGCGCTCCTGAAAAACCTTGTTTATCATCTGAATAACAAGCTTCCAATAATAAAGCAGGGGTCAATGGAAAACAAAAACAGCTTTATACACAGTTTTATTTCTGTTGAATAAATTAAAGCACCAAAACTCTGAAAAGTTGAAAACAGGTGCGAGTGTTTCCTCATGTACCTTTTTAAATGTACCTTAATTTTATGAACAGATTGTGACAAAAACTGAAGACAAAAAGCACGATGCAGTACATCATTTTGAACAGTAGCATAAAAGAAGGAAATCAGAGGTTATCGATTATATTGATTTAAATACATACAGAATGACTCCCAAATCTGAACCACTGGGAATTATTCGTACAGGCCGAGCCTCTTAGTGAAAAAGCTCAGCTATGTTTACATCATCAGAGGGAAATGGTGTATTGATGGCAATAAGGCAGAAAAAAACTACGCAAGAGATGAGTAATGTCAGCCGGACTATACATGACATGATTGTTAGTGTTGTCACCAAACAATACATCTTCTGAACGTCCTGGAGCCTCGGAGAAGAAAACCTCTGGGCTTTTTTCTGACATGTATACACTACAGGAGATACAGGGAAATGTCATACATGTAAATATTTTTTTCAACTAGGAGAACTAATGCTGACATATTGGGTAAAACTATGAAAGAGGAAATGGCTATTACACAGAGCATAACAGTTCCTTATTTCAGTAACAAGGAAATATCTTTCAACAGTGAATACAGAAGAAAAAATGAACTTAGTGGCACACATGAAACAGTTTGTATCCGGTAGAATAATGGGTCATTATATCTTGCACCGTGAACGTGCTGCATCACCTAAAAGCAAGAGTATTACACATCTGGTTTCACTACGGGGAACGACAGCTGTATCTTGGCATCGCACAGGCCTAAAATAACAAAAATGTGCTTTAAGATGAGGCAGAAGTTTGGAAATAGACACATAAACAAACACAGACAATAACAGTACCACCTTCATGACAAACTGTAGGACACATTTACAGATTTGCATCACGATACGGACAGTCAAACACCCATGAGACACGGAAACAATCAGTATTACACGGTTTAAGACACAGAGAATCAGAGGGTGACTCTTTCTTTGATTCCGGTTGACCAGGAAGTTAGAGTGTTAACAGAGTGTTTTGAAACTCGAGAGGAACTGGCAAAACTAGATGTAGGGCTTAGGCTTTGAGTTACAAAACAACATCAAAACGTCCACGACACAGTTATCTATGACGATAAAAAAAAAAGCGATGCATTTTTAAAAAGAATGCAGAGCTTGAAAATAAACCATAGAAACCATAAAGTGTTGCAAACATGGAAAAAAATATATAAATAACAGTTAAAATACAAGGATTATGTTAACCAAAAGTTCTCGAAGATATCTATAATGTTGTCCCCTCAGTTAAAATGATGATTGTCATGATTTATCTAAAGCTTTAACATTCTTAGCGATACATTTTTCTATAATTATCCCATTTCAAACTATTTATAATTGTATTCAGTCTACTTCTTAAAACTTCAGGAATTTTCTTTTAGTGTAATTTAGTATTTTGCTTAGCATCTCTGGATAGGTAGTGTTTTCACATTCACACCACTCACTGTTCAGGGGTTGTTTTGGCATGGTAAGAAGGACAGCTCGAGTGTGGAGGTGTTCAGAAAGTGCAGAGGCAACAGTTCAAACCTCGACACAAGTACTAACGAATCCACTGAGCTGTCACACTGTGAACAAACTGAAGATAGGACACTTGGTCTCGAGTTCCTCTGACATGAGAGTTTGTGAAACGGGTGCAAAACCTCTGCACTGGACGCCAATAGATGATAATGTAGCACATGGATCACGTTACACAGCGTCCAGCAGGTCCATAGCCAACAGCAGATCAGGAGAGGGATTTCCTCCACACCTGGCTGTTGTTGTGATGAGGTACCTTTGTCCTTGGTTACTCCTCGTCTGCAGCCATGAGGAACCCCAGGATGAAGTCGATGGTTTTCTGCCGCTCGTGTGGCGTCTGCCTGCCCATCAGGTTGGGAGGGGGTCGGATGAGGAGGCTGGCAAAGAGTGTAGCTGAAATACAAAAGGACGAAGGCACAACTTATTTTACTTTAAAGCCAGAAATATTGAACAATGTTAACTGATCTGTACAACCAGCACTTAGCCTTTAACCTTGTGGCAAAGTTATTTAGCAGAAAGGCTGCCATGAATGTAATGTGCACACAATACCTTTAAAAGCAGCCAGACTCTTAATTACATGTTTAAAAAGGAAGCATATAACACCTTTTTGCACTGGTTTCCTGTTAAGCATTTCATTTCCTACATAATTCTTCTGCTTGCACTTAACACTTCTGCGTGGCCTTGAGCTGTATTACAGAACTCTATTCTCATAAAGTACTGCAGATCAAAGCTGCTAACAATCCCGCGGTCTCTTTGAACACTTCTAGAGACAGACAGTAGCCGCACCAACTCAGAGAAATAATCTCCCTAAAATATAAAAGAATGTCGAGGAGGTTTCATACCTATGAGGCTGGCAGTCAGGTTGTTGTTGTGTGAGTGTTTGAGGAGTTCCTTCAGGAAGGCCATTAAGTATCGGAACACGTTGCGGTGAGCGCGGGGCAACTGGGAGATCAACTGTCAAATGTCAAAAAAAGATTAGTCGAACACATTACTGAAAAATCCTGGGATAATGCAAAGCTAAAACATTTCCTAAACACTGCACCTGTTTGCAGAGGCGGCTGTCATGAGAGCAGTCGAGGCACCGCTGGTAGAGTTCGTAACAAACCACCGGCTCCGGCAAGGCCTCCAAGAAGATCAGCAGAGCCTCGGCTACAGAGTGGTTACAGCCGGCTACTTCAACAGTCAGGGAACAACAAGCCCCTTTTTATCCTCATGGTAATGCTAATAATGCTAGCCCTTCCTCGTCCATGAGTTACAGGTTTAATATGCATCTTTTCCGTATTCAAATGTTTAAACGACACTAGATGTTATTCTCGAGTTGTGTTCTGACATTATATCAAATGATTCCAAATGTTTTCTAACCTAGAGAGGAATTTGTCCTTTTAATCAAGTTCATCCATTGCATTTGCACGTTGTCTGTCAGAAGCATTCAGAAATTGACTTTTTTATAAAATGCGTTTTAAACTTTAAGCCACATTGTTCCGATATACTTTTTAGATCCTGGTTGTTTTGGCTATAATACTACTATACATTTTATACGAGTGAAAGATTTTAGTCATTGGTTGCCTGGAACCTAAGTAACTGTGAAACAGCTTCAGAGAAACATTAATCATTTATTCGAAGCAGCGAAAAACCGCCTTAATGTAGGAATCCAACCAGAAGAAGCTGGGTGAAATAATTGTAGTCATCAGTTTTTTGTTATTGTTTAGTATGAAAGTAGCTGCTCGTTTATCTTCTGTTTTGTTTGGCATTGCAGGGCCCGGCTTTACAAAGAAGGATACAGATGGATTCTGGGATGCTCGTGTCCAGACAGTCGATGATGCTCTGCAGCTCCTCTTGCAGGCCTGGCGTCTGGAACAAGTCCTCCTGGGAGACACACAGGGACAAAATACTGAACATTTAAAAACATGTCCCACTAGTACCTCTGTGCTGGTTTATCTTTTCACAAACCAATATACTCACAAAATAAAAACATGTTGCAACTTCAGTTTTTCTCAATATAGTGCAGCCCACAGTTTTACATTAAAAAAAGCACAACATGGAGGTGAAAGCAATGCTTACTCCATTTAAATGTTGCATATCATGTATTTGTTTTTGCTATGTTTGTAAAATGTAATCTTCTTAAATGTTTTATGTGAGGGACTGCGGATGGAAATGAGCTCAAAGCTAAATCTTGCACTGTTACGCTTGACACATTTGAATGTTTTAAGTGTTCATTACTGTGCATTGTCCCTGCTAAATAAACAATTTAAAAAACTGATCATAATTCCATTGTTGAGGTCTACTAGAATAGATTTACATTGTTCAATGTTCCAAAGTCACATTGGTTTCTCATACAGCATCTCTGTATACTGTAGCATGTGTATTCACCGTTACAGCGGAACATCGGTGATTAGTGCTATGTACCTGGACTCACATTCAGGTTCAGGTCCGGACTCAAGTCCAGAGGTTCAGGTTCAGGTCCGGACTTATAAGTCCGGACTTGTGTCAAGTTGTGTGAGTAACTAAAGTGAACTTATTGTGAGCTAATTATCAATTGAAAATAAACTCATAATCAACTCAAATTCAAACTCGTCAGGTTTNTCATACAGCATCTCTGTATACTGTAGTATGTGTATTCACCGTTACAGCGGAACATAGGTGATTATGTGTTACAATGGCGTTAGCAACCACAATATGACACCAGTAATGACAAACAGATGAGAATGCTGCGTGGGGTCTGGGTGCCGTGTTGGCGGGACGATGCGCGGCTCGCTGCTGTGAGGAGCGGACAGTGTGAGCTGGATTACAGGTGTTGTTTCCTGGTTGCTGCGTGGGGTCTGCGAGACAGCGCGACACAGCGAAACTCAGCCTGAACTCAGCCTGAACACACACACACACACTCGTAGCCTGGCTGTGAGTTTGTTTGTGTGTGTGTGCTCAGGCTGAGTTCAGGCTGAGAAATCCGCAGAGCTGCGGCTGAGAAAAGATAAGGCTGAGTGTGAGTGTGTGTGTGAGAGGAAGTCCGCAAAGTTACGTCACTACGACACAAGAAGTAAACAATGGAAAGAGACAAATCTCCAACGAGGCGTTCTGGGGCAGCAGCATAGACAGGTATTTTCTGTGTTAGAGTTTTACTCGCGACAGGCTGTACTTTGAGGGTTTGTGACTCTGCAGACTGTTTACATGCATCAAATCCTTCATAACACACAAGGGGACGGGTAATAACAGGAAGAGCCTGACATGGGACCTTTAAAATCAATAAGTCATCTAAATATTGATCAGAATAATTGTTCTTATCATTTGGGCCATAATCCTTCTGCCCTAATTTGGCTATATTACTCCCTTTGAGGCAAGCACATAAACAAAAAAAAACTACAATATAATGACAACACCCCTCGCGTGCATGGTACATGGAGCTGAGATTGTGAGTGTTTATCAGTTGTAGTAAACGTTTTATCAGCTATGGCCTTCTTACCTGATCACAGGACCTGGTGTAGAGATGGTTGACAAGAATCCACACTTCCTTGGGGATCTTCAGCGGTTTGTCTTCTGTACTTGCACCTTCAGACATCAGGAAGCTAACCTTTGACCTCTCCTGATGACAGATAACACTCTTTGTTATTATTTCCTGCAATAATATAATGACTTTCTTCCATTTAATCACTGAAAGAAAACATATCGAAATGAATGACGTGATTGTATTATATCCTCAAACTGTGTGATTCCTAGAGACTTCTCGAGTGTCTGCACATGAGACATCTGATCAGTTAGTGACGGAGAAGGAGCCGCTGTGAGGTCGAGATTATCTCTTTGGCGTGGAAACTTGAATGAAGGAGAGACATTTTAAAAACGGCAGAATATCACATTATTTTTGTCTCTGCTCATGGATTCCCGAGCCTCAGGAGAGACGTCTAAAAATAACCACAGACAGTGAAGCTGCACAGAAATGCAGGGGAAACTGGAGTGGGGCTTTAATGGGGGACGACGCTAACATGTAGAACTAATATGATAATCTGTTAATGTTTCAACTCCAAAAGCTGTTTGGATGTTGAAAGATGTTTCAACTCCAAAAGCTATAATATATAAATTGCTACATGGTTAAGAAACGACACCCCCAACTGGATGTTACTTTACTCAGCTGCTCAGTTTTTACACTCGTAACAAGTTGTGAAACTACTTGTCGTTTGGCTTCAGTGTTCAAGCTTAGCTGAACAGACTCTAATACTCCTCCTCATGAGCTTTAATCATGTGAATGTGAGCTGTGCAGCCATGGTGACCTGCTGTGAAATGGGATTTAGTGTGTTTGCGTGTTTACATTTCATTGGGCTGGTGTACCCTGTCCTCAATGGGCCGGAGGAGATTTAATGGCCGAGTGATCCACACACACAGATTACAACCGAGCTGGCACAGTGAGGTCTGTTAGGTTAACAATTGTTGCCCTTGTCAGATTCCGGAAATGTAAAAGCGAATATGAAACCCATTCAATTTTCTGATTAGCTACTGAAGGCATTTTTTTTAAATCAACCTGTGCACAATATTGTAGCTCAAAATAATTGCTTGTTCGTGGAATAGGAAGTATGGTTTACTTTATAAGGGTAAAATGAGTAGATGGAGTATGGAGTAAGAGCTAGGAGATTATTTAAGCATAAAGTAACAAAACAGAAACAAACTGAAAGGTCAAAAATACACCGACTAACACATTTAAAAGCTTAATAAGTAGTTTGCAGCATTTTGTGCGATGACAAGCCTCGAAACTTAACTCCACTGGATCAGGTTTCAAGTGTCCCAGGGTAATTCCCCTCCAATTTCTAGCTGCGTACAAATCGTTCAGACCAAAAATTGGTATCCGGCTTCTAATCTTATTTTCAGAAAGAGAGTGAAAGATAATATTTGCCACAACATTAAAATCTTCCACTCCTTTCTGCTTGTTGGTTGGCAAGGTACCGATTTACCTTTTATGAGATGAGTGTTTGAGGAAGGTCAATAAAGTGTCATAAAGCAGACATTTGGTTTTGATTGACCTCGATTTGCCCGATAGCTATAATCAGTATCGTTAATATGTTACCTTTTCCATGAAGCTGTCCTCTTCCTGAACAAGAAGTCAGCCCACAACCACAGTGAAGAGTTGGAAAGGAATGATCAAGGCAGTAAGGATGCGATGATGGGAAACAAGAGGAAAGAGAAAAGAAGATGGAAAAAGATATGCGTAAACAGAATCAGAAGAGTAGACTTACAATAGATTGTACTTTGATCAAAGGCACAAGGCCAGTAGGAAATCAAATAGTGCAATTAGAAATGCAAAGGAGTACTGAATGATAGCATATAACAAAGCAAAACCAGATTATGTCGAAAAGAGCATTTTGGAGACAGACGGAGGTGAACTTCTAAAGATCATAGGAGTGTATTTATAAAAAGCTCTAACTTGAGTCAGTCTTCCCTGTTCTTTAGGAGCTCCCTTTATGAGATGTTGCCACTTCCTTGTTCCCTTGGCCAGAAATATACAGGTTGAGACATTTCATGCGCTCCAAATTTAGACTGTGTGACTTAGTTTACCCTGAGGGGGGGGAACAAGCTCTCACACGTCCCCACTCCGGTTTCAGGTGGCGAAAAGCTACAGAGTGAGGACAATCTGAATGTAAATGCGGTTTGTAAAGGAAGGTTTATGTTTCACTATCTGGTGTTTCACTAATCTGAGGGAAATATGTCTGTGTTCACTAATCGTATCGCTGTAAACAGGTCTGACTGGATCTCCTTCTCCCTCACCAGGTCGATCAGCTTGGTGATGGGGATCTCTCTGATGGGCTTCTTCATGCGGCACAGGGTCTCCAGCGAGGTGCCGAAGCAGCTGGGCAGGTAGTTCCCAGAGATGGTGATGAAGTAGTCTTTGCCCCGGTCCAGATGGAGCACCAAGATGTCCTCTATGGCGTCCTCTCCGGAGTTCAGCAGCGTGACAGAGTCTTTACTGACGTACACCTCCAGGTAGATCTCCAGGGTCTCGTCTGTTCAGTAAGATGTTTTATTGAAAGATTAAAAAACGTGTAAAGGGCATGATTCTCCACAATAACCAAAATGACTGGGTTTGGATAGGAATGGAATATATGAAACGGTGTAACTCTGTTAGGATGCAAATAAAGGTGACTGTATTTCGTTATCGTTACATAAAAATAAGGCATAATCAGAATGACCAAGACATTGAAAAGTGAGAGCAGGGTGTATGCAGGAATCCTGAAGTCAAATGTAATTCCTTTCAAGACCCTTTCCATACATTTTAAGACCTCATCGCCACTTTGAGTTTTAACCGGTTACATTGGCAACACACTTTACTCTATACAGTATTGATTGTCCTTCCTCCTTATCTTCCGACCATTTGGACGCAAACTTGCATTTCCCCATAACGATGTTGTTTAACAACCGGCGTAAATGGACCTTCGCGCGCTATCAAGCAGTGAGCGTGTGATGTCCTGTTCAGATGACGTCAAATCCCTTGGAAAATGCCGTTTAATACTTTTTAATAGACTTAATTTTCGCTAAATTGATTTATCAACTTTTAATACTTTTTAAGACCCCGCGGACACCCTGGATAGGGATTATAAGGAGAGGAACAATTTTGAAATACACTTTAAACTAAGTGGGCTCACACAATGTTCTTATTTCATATGTAAAGGGGAAAAATATCAAAGTACAAACCAGCGTAGTTTGCTCACTGTTCTTGTTACTGAGTCATTCAAGAGTGAATGTGGAATTTGTATGTAGGTTAATTTAGATGAACTCATGAGTAGCTGCTGCTGCTGCCCCACATTTCAATCGAGCAACGCCAATGTGCCAAACCATCCTTGGATGATGACACCATTTCCCCAGCCTGAAGGCATGACTTTCACTAGATGTTGTTCCTCTTTTCAGATTTACATAATACAAACAATATCGTAATTTTTATTTTTTCTTGTCTTTATTTGCACACTTGGTATCATTACCAAAAAGTGACAGAAAGTAATCCAGTTATTCTACATTTAAAAACTGGTAAGATATTGTCTCAGAATATTGTTTTAAAGTAGCAAAACACAAGACATAAAAGTTGTCCCGGAGAATTGTGTACCTGATCATAGGGCTGTGCAATTAATCGTATTTTAATCTCGATTACGATTTTGGCTTGCAACGATTACGAAAACAACGTAATCGAAATAAAACGATTATTATTTTTTTAATTAATTTCTTTAATACATTTTTTTCATTGGTTTTTCAGTTGATATAGTTTTATACTTATAGTTCAGGGTAATCAACTGTTAAAAACATACTGTTCCATTTTTGTTTTTTCAATAAATGGATGTTTTCAAAGTAAATGGATAATCGTTTTTAATAAATCGGGATATCAATTATTGACCAAAATAATCGTGATTATGATTTTTGCCATAATCGCACAGCCCTACCTGATCACAGATCTAAACTCGAGGTAATAACCCTAGAGATATCAACAAAAAGCAAAGAGGAGTTTTCAGACTTACTGGGCTCTAAGAATCCATCGCTTGGCTCGGCACGAAGCCAAGACTTACAATACTGCGTGTCGTTGAGTTTGGGGATGAAGGCGAAGTGACAGGGGACCTGCCCGTCATTCGTTATCAGGAAGTGCTCCTTCTGAAGCTGGCGGAATTTCACATTCCCAAATGAGAACTGCAGGACAGGGAAAGAGAGAAAACATTAACCACAGGTTCAAGCGATTGTTTTTTTGTGTCTCCAATTTTTTTACGGGAAGTCATAACAAGCTTCTTTGTTTTAAAGGTCACCAGTGGTTAGTGCGTGAGATGATATCATGAAGGAAGGATCATAAGACAGTGTGATGAATATGTGAGGACTTTATGTTTACCTCTCTCCTGCTCAGCGTTAAAGATGGAAGGAAATCATTCTCCATTCTGTCCATCGCGCGCACAATCTCCTCAAACACTTTTTTGTGGCGCGGCTCATTTACCACCTTGACCTGTTACACAAATAACACACAGCCATATTTAGTCATATTTAAGTCAGAGCAGTGCATTTTTTTTAACTAAAACCAGTCTTTGTGTTGTTGTTTTGTGTCAGTATAGCTTCTCACCCCCACAGTGAAGAGAGCACTGACAGGCTTGTGGTCACTAGTTTGCAGCTCCATGTGACTCCGGTATTTGAGCTGCTTGATATTGCTGCCCCTCCACAGGATTCGGTCACACCAAGCCGGGACACGGCACTTCCCACTGCAGGAAACAGTTTCAGAGGCAGAGTGAAGGGTGAGACCTCAGACACACATACAGTACTGCTGACTCTGTGTTAGTGCAACGATAAGCTGGAACAAGCTTCCTGACTGGCAAAAATGAATCCGGATTCCAAAGAACAAACAAAACAAAACAGGACAACTTGGCAAAAACAAAACAGAGCCCCGGAGGATTGTTTCGTATATGGGGAGAAAGCAGAAGGTACTATACAGGGATCAATGTTTTCACCTTGAGTCCCATCGATCCGTTTTGGGGTCGTACTTGTACGTGGGAATGAAGTTGATCTCTCCCTCCATGAAGTCTGTGAAGGCTTTCTTTGTCTGCCTCTGAATGTTCAGCTACACAATGGAAAATGGCAACACATCAAAGTTTAATTTGGTGAAGGAGTCCAATCAAAATCAGTAATCATTATCAAACAGATAAGTCATAGAGGAAATAATGGCAGATTACAAACACAGCGAGTGTAGTTATCTTTAGCAATCTGTTTAATCATGCTATTTGCAAAACAGCTTCCCTTATTCATTTGCCAAACTTCTATTTATCATCAAATATTTATTTAAAAAATGAAATATGAAAATATGTTTCATTCATGTCACAAATTCATATTTACACATCAAAGGTCACAACAGACACATAACAGCTACAGCTTAAGAGCTAAAAAGCATCTTATTCTGTGTCAGAAATACTGAATACATGACAAATGACTGAAGTTATTCTAAAACTGCTGCCGAGGGAAACTGTTATTAAAGAAACAAACAGACTGACATGGGATTTTCTTGGTACGGAATATTTATCACAAAAGCCATTATTTCTAAAAACCTGCTGATAGTTGTCTTAATTCAAAGTAAAACATAAGTAAAAGTGGTGCTTAGTTTTCAACAGACTCTTACCTGATCAACATCCTGAAGCTTTTTGAGGTCATTCTGAGCAATGTGATGTTTGACCTCAGCAGCATCGTACAAACACAGACGGTAGTTCAAATCCCCGAGCCAGATTACTACACTGAAACACAAACAGAGACAAAGATGGCTTAACACAACAGAATCACAGCAACACGTTTGTAGTGGTAAGGATTATCCTTGTGAAAACTCAAATCATGTCAACAAGACTGGTAGTGAGCAGCTTATGTTTGTAGAGACGGAGACATTGACAAGTCAGTGTATTAAGTAATAAGCTCGGTAGTATAGAATTATTAAAAAAAGGTAGTTTTGTAGAATTCTGAAAAAGTAATAAAATCATTTGAAACCAATAATAAAACACAATATTTTTAACACAATCCTAAACTGGCGATACAAGCATAATCCTGAGTTTGCACTTTAATTCAATTATCTCCCTCCGGACATTTAGTGGCTGAGGAACTCACTCGTGTTTGACGATGCTGAGAGGGGGGTGGTCCAGTAAGTGGAAGGTCATGCGGGCGCAGATGTCTTTATAGTCCTGGTTGCGGCGCTCAAAGTCTTCAACGTGTGCTGCTAGATGGGAGTTCACGATGCAGAAGCTAGTGTTGTGGAAAACAAACCTCACTGCCACACCTCCTTTGTTCCCCTGCAAAAAACATCACACACGAACATTAAAAGGGTTAAACACAACATATTTTCATTCATGCAGGAATAAGGTCTATGTAACATTGAAAAAAAAAATTCTAACTGAGGCTGCTGTATACTGTAATCAGAACAGTTATTATTATAACAATACAAATGTACTGTAAGTGCCAGACAGCACTCATTTATGGCATTTATTTGAGTAGATTAGCAAATGTACTTGGTATGATAACCGTCGACTTTCATACGACGGTATACCTTGAAACTGCTGCAACATTTATTTTGTTCTTTATACTGAACATACAGCCATTTTACTCCTTGACCTCTTGCACTTTCATGGAAAACAACACTGCACATTTATCTCAAGGTTACTTATTACTATGTGTATTGTGAGGCAGTTTGTCTGAGTTTGGTGTGAACAAACCATTTTCCCCATGATTCCAGTCCCCACATGCTCTGCAGCCACTTCCTTTATGTGGTTCTTGTGCATCTTTTTCACGAAGATCACAAGCATCATTCCGACAAGTCGTATGATCCGGACCTGTAGACATTAAAAAAATTAAAAAGACATTACACCAGTTATATTTCTTCTTAAAGGTCCCATGTCATGGCTATTTCCACTGATCATAATTCCATTGTTAAGGTCTACTAGAATAGATTTTTTTATTGTGCAATTTTCCAAAATCACTTTGGTTTCTCATACAGCATCTCTGTAAACTACGTGTATTCACTGAATTTCACTCTCTGCCTTTAACGGCTCATTGTAGCTCCAATAGCTCCAGCCCCCACCCTCCCTGTGAGCACAGTGTGCTCTGATTGGTTGGTTCGTTGTGAATCGCGCTTGGCTCCGTGGAGGTGTGGTTTCCTTGTTTAGCGATACACAGCGAAACACATCCAAACTCACCCTGAGCACACACAAAGTCACAGCCGAAGTAAAAACAATAAGTGTGGCTTGATATTGAGTAAGAAAAAGGTTGATAAACGCTGTGAGAATGGGTCTGCAGAGAGAATTTCGCCGCAATCCCAACTGTCTGTTATCAGCCTGCAGCCAGGGAGGAGAGATCAGCAGAGCTGCATGCACTCAGTGTGTGTGTGGATTGGTCAATTAGGACCAATCAGCGGGGGCTTAACGTAACGGCTCCGCGGACGTAACGTAACGGCTCCACGGATTGGTCCATTTGGTTCCGTGAAACGCTTGACATCATGCGGTACCCGGAAGAAT